TAAAGAGAGTACTTTCATCACCTTTGAGACACTAATAGCACAAGATGTTAAATACTAATACGTTAAGAGGTTAATGCTAGCTTAATGCAGCTTTATAACACGTCCCAAGAGATATTTACAACTACCCTTTCTAATAAAACAAGAAGGTGCATTAGGGCTGAAGGGAAATAAGGTACCTGCAAGCCTCACCTCACCTAAAATCCACACTGATTTGAGGCTTAGCCTGCCCTATACATGCACACAACAAATCACACAGAAGACAAAACAGAGTAACATAACTCAGCATCTCCAACATTTGAGGTCTTCAATCAGTCAAACACCAATAATGAATCCCAAGGTAAACTTCTTCACTCATAGACCATTCAGACATTTGAACAAAACCTAGAACTTTACTCTCTTGACACTCTGGTTATTTGAGAGAATTACTGAGGGAATTTCCTAGCTAAGGACACCGTTTTCACCAAAATCTGGTGAAAATGCAACCGGTTACCATAATGATTATCTGCATACAACTTGAGCAATACAAAAGGCATTCTTATTGAGTGAAATGCAAATGAGTGAAGAAAGAAATTTTTTCTTGCATTCTGTTTGCAGGAATGTATTACAGGAAAAAAATAGAAGAAAATAAAATAAATAAACTAAAAACAACCACAACACACTGAGATACCCAAAGAGTTAAACAGCACTTAAACATTACACCACTGCTTCTCACCAGAAGACCTGGAATTGTCAAGAATACTTAAATGTACACTATGTCACTATATTCTAAAAAAATATTTAACTGTGGATATTGAAAAACTTCATTCTGAGTCCATGAAAGATTTTCTTAAGCTAACACTATGTTAAAAATAGATAGAGGAGTATCCGTATCTTCTCTCTCTTCTACCCAGAGAAAACCTCCTAAATTTGTCAGAAGTTCCCTTAGAAATAATTCACAGTCGGAAAAATCTGTGTTTATATCCAGCATGTGTTCATTTCAGCACCTATAAAGTTATATTTATGACAATAATGTGATCCCAGGATACCACAGAAGAGATCTTGGTGTAGCCTTGTGTTCTCGTCTCTCCTCAGGAGAGGAACATGAGCAGCTCAGAACAGGCAAGTGAAAGGAATCAGAGGTAGTGATTTGAAGCTGGCGATTGTTAAGGAGAGATTCAAGAGACTAGGGCTATTTAATTTAAAAGCAAAAGTACATGAAGATTAGGGATTGGGATTTCCAGCCTGCACAGGGGAAAGGTCACACCAGGATGTGCAGGTTTATCTTCATTCTCCTGCAAAGGCAACAAACAGCTGCCAGAAGATCAGTTGTCTCCCCCTCATAGACTGCCAGTCCTTTTTCCCAAAGGACCACTCTTCACTGTATACACAGCCTCAAACAGACAGCATTGCTCTGTAACACCAGCAAATGCAGACAGCAGGTGAAATGCAGCAGTTGTAAATTGAAGAAAGCAGAACAGAAGAAAAGCAAAATGAATGGAAGGAAAAATAGAGAAAGCATGGAAAACCAGCTTTGGAATTCAAATGAAAACATCAATAGACAGGATCAAGCAATACCGTCACTGCAGAGAATAAGCCACAGCACAGGTGCAATCAAGAGACCATCCCATCTACACTGGGAGAGCTTTGAGAATAATTCCCAAAGTTCCTGCACAGCAGAATACATTCCTTTAAAATTAACATCAGCCTCTCCTTTTACTAAGCCTAGCAATGGTAAAAAATTATGCTAGTCACCAGAACTCTGACAGCTGAAGCACAAAGCTGTACAGACAGGAACACAACTCTGGCATATCTTCCTTACTGATGAGCTGCAGATAAATCATCATGTGTGATGCTTTCTACAGGAATTACTTCCTGACATCAGGTCTTTTCTACAGGTGAGAGAAAAATCTCACTATCCATATGACCTGAAACCCTTCCAGCTATAGCAAGGTAGATGCTGCTGCTTCGACCCACATAAAGCACTTGCAGAGCTCTGAGTTCACCACCACCCCTGAATAAAACAGGTCAATGGGAACTAAGGACCCAGAGAAGGTCACCAGGTACTGTGTGCTGGCAGCTACCTGAACTCATCTAAATGATGTTTTAAAGGGACTCAAACTGAAAGAGCAGGTTTAGATTAGATATTAGGAAGAAATTCTTTACTGTGAGGGTGGTGAGATGCCGGAGCAGGTTGCCCAGAGAAGTTGTGGATGCCCCAACCCTGGAAGTGTTCAAGGTCAGGCTGTACAAAGGTCTGAGTAACCTATTCTAGTGGAAGACACTCCTGCCCATGGCAGGGAAGTTGAAATGAGATGATCTTTAAGGCTCCTTCCAACCCAAGCCATTCTGTGATTTTATGATTCCACATTAATACAAATTTATATCTTCATATAAGGTATACGCTTCATTTCACAACTGGAGCCTCCTAAAACGATGTAGATGTTCAGATATCTGAAGTTTTACACAACCAGTACTATGTTGCTAAGTATTTACCTGCCTAACTTCTTAAGTGCCAAACTGTTTGGTCACCAATTCAAGGCCATAACATAATATTTCCACCACTAGAGCACTATCCTCCAGAAAAAATGCGTTTTCCTTCTCCTCTGCATATCTGGCCTACAGGGACATCAGTAAGAGGCCCTTTGTCAGAAACTGTAGTGACAGGACAAGGAGTAATGGCTACAGATTGGAAGAGGGGGAATTTAGGTTAAACATCAGGCATAAACTGTTTACTGTGAGAGTGGTGAGACACTCGAACAGCTTGCCCAGGGAAGCTGTGGATGCCGGAACTCTGGCAGTGTGCAAGGGCAAGTTGGATGGGGCTCTGAGCAACCTGGTCTGATGGAAGGTGTCCCTGCACGTGGCATGGGGGGTTAGGGTTACATGGTCTGTAAGGTCCACTCGACCCCTTAACATCCTATGATTTACCCGGGCGTTAAACACACGGTACAGGCCCGGAAAAGGCTACTCGGAACCGGGTTTCCTCGTGCACCTCCCACCTCTCCCGAGGAACCGCTGTGGCAACTGAGGGACAGCACCGACCACCTCCCCTGCCACAGGGGCCACAGGTGTGCCTGGAGACAGCCGAGACTTTCCCACCTGCAGACGGCGCGCAGCTCGGCCGCCGTGTCCGCCGCGCAGCCCAGCTCCGCCGCCACGGCCGCGTCCGCCTCCTCCTCCCCCTCCTCCTCCTCCTCCTCCGCCGCCAGCGAGAGGTCTGGCGGGCCGAGCAGCCGCCGCCACCCGCGGCCCAGCGCGCCCACAAGGAACGCGCGCGTGCACAGCTCCGCCGACTCGTACTCGGGCGCCGCCTCCTCCTCCGCCGCCGCCGCCGCCATGGCCGCCATGGCCGCCGGGCCCGCGCGCCGCCACCGCCGGCGTGACGGGCTGCGGGCGGGGCCGGCGGGCGGGCTGAGGGCGGGCGTGAGGGGGGCGTGGGGGGCCGAGGCGCTTTTGCCAGGCGGGACAGGGCTCGGCAGCGTTCGTTAGGAAAAAATAAATAAATAAACACGGAAGAAAAAATTTCTGAAGTCATTAAAACGGCGCCGTGTGCGTGGTTTTACAGCGGTACAAACACTTCCACACGGAATCACAGAATCACATAGGTTGGAAAAGACCTCTCAGATCACAGACCTATGGCCTAACACCAGCACTTCAACTAGACCATGGCACTAAGTGCCACATCCAGTCTTTCCTTAAACACCTCCAGGGAACGGTGACTCCACCACCTCCCTGGGCAGCCCATTCCAGTATCTGATCACCCTTTCGATGAAGAAATTCTTCCTGATGTCCAACCTAAACCTTCCCTGGTGCAGCTTAATACTATGACCTCTCATCTTATTGCTGGTTACCTGGGAGAAGAGACTGACTTCTACCCTGCTATGACCTCTTTTCATTATACTTTATTGTACAGTGTTCCCAAAGTGAAAACTTAATACCTTGGAAACCTTTTCTTTTACAGCATTAAGGTGGTTTATAATATGATGAACAACATTGATGAAATACATAACCTTTTACCTTACTAACACTGCTGGTGTTAAAGTATGTGCCAACCACCTGGAACGCCCATTGGAATAGTGTGACAAAGCTACCATGGGAACAACCTGTTAAGAAAGAGGCAGAAGTAATCTGGATTGAGCAAACCTGATATACCTGTTACATGTACCAATTGAACCACAGCCTTCACTCTTGCTTCATGCCAAAATATTTATGGAATCACAGATTCATAGAATAGTTTGGGTTGGAAGAGACCTTAAATATCAGCTGGTTACAACTCCCCTTGCCATTGTCAGGGACACCTTCCATTAAACCAAGTTGCTCAAAGCCCTATCCAGCCTGGTCTTTAACAGCTCCAGGGATAAGGCACCCGCAACATCTCTGGGCAACCTCCTCCAGCACCTCACCACCCTCATAGTAAAGAATTTCTTCCTAACATCTAATCTAAACCTACCCTCTCTCAGTTTAAAACCATCGCCTCTTGTCCTGTCACTATCTATCTGCCTATATGAAAGCTCCTTCTCTTTCCTTTCTTTAAGTTCCCTTCATGTTCTGGAAGGCCACAATGAAGGCTCCATAAGCCTTCTCTTCTCCACACTGAACAACCCCAGCTCTTTCAGCTATTCGTATTACTTCTCTAAATATGAAAATAAAACTTGAAGAAAAGGCATGTTAGCAGGTGGCTTGTTGCAGCAGGGGGTGAAGATAAGACCCAAAAATTTTCATTAAAGGAAACTGGGTCTTTGAAAGCTGTGTGGAAGAAGCAGGATGCCAAGAGAGAACAAAGTCATGACATTTGCCTGAAGTTTCACAAAGGAAATTAATAAAGAGGGAGGTAAGAATGTAATAGCCCAGCCAGATGATATTTTGCTTTTTTTACCAATAAGAGTATGGTCTAAAGCCCGTCTAACTCCCCCACTTAGCACTTGCACAGCAAGTATGTTTATACTTGCACTGCATTTCAATGCTGAATTCTTTTATTAGCTCTCACCTCCGCCTCTTAATTGCGGTTATTATTACTCATTATGAAAATTCTGCTAAGCTTCAGCTCATTTTTCCTGTAAGTATTGACAGTATCTCTTCCCTTCTTCAGCTACACCCTCTGCTTTCTTCATCCATCATCTCTGTGCATCATGACACTCCCTAGCTCTGGAAGAAGCTCTTGATTAAGGGTTGTTGCCCTCACTTCCTGTTGTATCCTCCCTGAAACCTATTAGTTGTTCCTTGAGGAATTCTCATTCCAATTTTCAAGGCCATACCTGCCTTATTGTGTGTTTGTTGTTATCTCCTATGCTTTGTTTACATTCTGAACATACCTTTTCCCTTTGTGTACTTGCAAAGTTGCCTGAAATTGGAAAACACTCCATCACTTACCTGATGTAGCCACATCTGGGGTGGAAGTGACAGGGCTTTGTTGTTCTAAGTACAGTGTTGATAATAACATGTAGGAGCAATTTCAGCCAAGAGCAGCAGGATTAAACCCTACCCTTCCTGAAAGGTATCAGGAATTTTTAGTGTTCATAAAAAGGAAATAAGATATTTGTTTCAAAAACCTTCCTTAGAAAACCAAATACACGAAACTGTGTGGAAATCACTGGCCTGAATTTTTTTGTACGACCACGTCAAAATGGCATCACGGAATTCCCCGGCACAAGAGTGGTCACTGGCGCTGTCACAGAGGCAAGTGTGCCTTGGAAGAGGGTGCTGTGCTGTAATTGTTCATGCTTTTTTGAATAAATCCTCTTGGGCTTTTCAGTTAGATTTATGAATTTCCCTTACTGCCTCTCTTCCTTCTCGCCATGGCAGGCTTGATTTTGGAGTTCTTATGTATTAGTTAAAAAGAAAAAAACCTGTAAAGTACATAAACATCAAGCAGGAAGACTGGATAAGTAAAAGCTCAAGGATCAACTAAGTTCAAAATACTAAAGCTGATAATTTTTAACCATGAATGGATATTTTCTGTTTCGTTTCCAACCTTCAATACTAAGAAATCATATACTTACAAAGCCACTCCACTCAATCCAAATCCTCTTAAGAACAAAGAGAGCTATTTATTTTTATAGCTTGGAATTAATCTGCCCTTGATATACTAGGCATAAGGCACATGGGCATTTCAAGGTTTCCAAGAGGTACTTACTTTTCTCTGCTGGATAGACTTTAATAATTCAACAGTAAAGCAATGAAGGGTGTGTGAAGAACTCAAGCAGTGTAAACTTGGCAGGTATTAGGCTAAGTTCTTTAAGAAGTGCTGAAATCCAAAAAGCATTGAAAGAACATTGGGCTTAGAGGAGAAGTGGAGATAGTAAAAAAGACAGCTGGAAGACACACTAATAATAACAACAACAACAATAACAACAACAACAACAACAAAAAGACAAAATAATAAAATACATGCAACAAAAAAAATTGTCACTAATGAAGCAATCAGGTAGCCTGTGTTATGTAGTACTATGGTATCCTGTGAGTTTAAGAGACTGATTTCAGAGCTTCCATGTGCTCACTATGGCTACAGTCAGTAAATGCTGTGGATATATAACCATTCTGAAAAGTCAGTCCTAAATTGTCCAAAGTAAAGACTAAATCCCTTAGTCTTTTACCACAAGGAACACCCTTCATTCCTTTCTCAATTCACACAGACCCAGAAATACATAGATATTTCTGAAGCCAACCACATTGCATGAGAGTATTGAATTGTACTTGTTTTAACAGACACAATGTTAATATAATTGCATGGTAATGCCTATGATGGAGTAATTTTGTGCCTTAATCATAAATCGGATTTTATACTATTCTCAACCCTGGTCTACATTACGGAAATTACAAAAGTCATTGAAAGTACCTTGGGCTTCCACTCCAGTGCAGAAAAATCACCACGATCATCACTTAAGCTTCAACAAGAGTTTCATGACTAACAAAGTTATTGTTTGTAGGTAGTTTGAAAAAAAACTTTGCAAAAGAGTTGTTAAGCATTATTTTTAGTCAATATTTTAGAATTGTCTCTCTCCTTTTTTAGACCAAGTACTGTGGTATGAGCTCTATAGTGTCTTTGTACCTTAGCAGATAAGGAACATTGTCACTGTTTTTTAAACACTAACTGTCTCAGCACAGCAATTACAGAGATACAGAAATGTTCCAGGGCTGTAATTTTAGGAGATAAGGATTCACCAGCTCTCAGTTTTTTCTGTGTCATGCCTTCTAGTTCCAGCCTTTGTTCTGAAGTTGCAGCTGATTTCTGGACAGCAGCACCCAAAGCACTGATCAAACCCAGTTGAAAGCACTCCCCCAGCCCTTCTGGATGAGGATTTTTTTAACCTGGCCTAAGCTAAGCCATAGTGTTTATAGTAGGATCTTGCAAAGGGTTGCATCAGCCAGCCTGGTGTTCACCAGGACTGGGAACAAAAGGGAAGGCCTACCAAAGTCTGGCCTGTCACTGCTTCCAAACATGCTTCCTATGCCAATGAACAGTGGTCTGGGGATGTAACAATATTTGTGTCAAAGACTCTAAAAGCTGCCATTAGCATCTTTTACTATGACATCTGAACAGGAATGATCCATTCCTAAAATGTAGCTATTGTTGGACATATACATAACTCATGTTACTTTTACAATAAATGCATTAAAATATTAATACACAATAAAGTGTCATAAAGGTTCTGTACAGATCTTAATTTAAACAGATTACATGAAAAACTGCAGGTAATTTAACAGCTGCATAACTAAAACGGAGTTCTGTCCAAAGACAGGATACACTCGAGGTATGCAGAAACAAAAACAAACAAACAAACAAAAAGAAACAAAAAAAAAAAAAAGGGGAGGAAACATCTGTGATTGGTAATTTCTGAACTACTCCATGTCTGAAAATTGCTTTTACATAACCCAACTGAGAATCAAATGAATACAGGATGCTTTCCTCTCATGAATGTTGAGCAGTCAGAATTATTTCCCTGTAGAGTTTTCATCTATGTCTAATGCTTGTTCCTGCCTGCCATTAAAACTGATGAAAGTTAAAGAACACAAACTTAAGAGTAAGATGATGACAGGGGTGTATATAATCCAAACCACACCAAACGGAGTCTTTAGGCCTTAAATATAACTGAACCACGTTATTCTGACAGCTGAATTTGGGTATTTAATTGGAATAAGGAACAAAGACATAAAGAAGCAGTAGTATCACAGAGCAGGCACCATCTACATGGTGTAGATGGTCATGGGGTATATTGTACGTTGTAGCAAGCGTGGGTAGAGCCCCTCTCAAATCTTCGTTCGCAAAGCCTAGCCATGATAATATTGTATGTTATTTTCACCAAAGAGCTAGCACAGCCATAAAGAAAATTTTGGCCAAGAACTCAATCTGCTGCAGTTGTACCAAAGTTATACTCCAGCAGTAATATCCCAGCCCTCTTATTTCAAAGAAGAAGAGGACAGAATTATTGTGGGTGCAGTTGTTTTATTGAGTAGACAGCTGTGACACAATGTTCTGCCCATGGTGCCAGCAGTCACGTCCTACTGAGTCCCTCCGTATTGCAGCCCTATTCAAGCCTGATGATTATTGTTCTTGACAACACCTGAGGGTCTTGTCCCCATCTTAGCCTTTGTACCATCTCCACAAATTACGCCTAGCACCAATTTTTGTGCTATTTAAAGGGCTTCCTATTACATCAAGTGATGATACAACCTGTTTATTGAAAGCAGGCTGTTGCCATTTCTTGAGAAAATAAGTAATGTATGTTCAATTTTGCCAGAATGAGTGCCAGAGGTTGTCCATGGACATTCATTCTCTTCCCACCAACAGTCAGTGAACAGAGTACCTTCTGGAGAGCCTTTTGGTCATAAGTGTCTGCATCTGGTATAAAACCTCAGTGTGAAAATTTTTCAGTTTGTGTTGCAGAGGACCATTTTTTATTCTTGCTTTGTGCCTGGTGGTCTCTTACAGCAAAGTAGTTTCTGAAGTGGATGAATGCTATGTTTTCTTCTTTTATGTGCCATTCATTGAGGCATCCTGAGTGAGATGATGAAGTAACATAGCATTGTTTAGATAACTATAAAGCTGACTGGGAAAATTCTGTTTCAGGCAGGTTCAGGTAAGATAAGAGCACCTGTTGTGTATAGTTAGACTTTTAATTAGGAGACTCCTCTGAGGCTGTCAGGCTCTCCCATTATGTCAGTAACAGGCTTCTTAGCTGTCAACACGAGGGCAAGCCAGTCTGCCTGTCCATGGATGTATTGTCTTGAGTACCAAAGGGACATCCTGAAAAAGGTGTTTCAGGCCTCTTAGGCTGTTTTCTGTGCTGCACTACTCATGGTATTTGTGTCTTATATCCAGACCAGCAAGTCTGGTTTGTCTTGAGTAGCTGAATAAGTAGTTTGTGAGAGCTGAATCTGAAGGGCTAAAGCACATGTCCTGCTTTGGAAGACCCTTCTTCAGTTATGCTGCACAAAATGTTGTGGATGCTGAATGATTACACTGATTAAAGAGGAGTCAAGACAAACTGATGGGAAAGCGATCTGGTGATGATTCTTGTATGCATGCTCAAGAAATTCTGGTATTGGGTTTATGGGACAAAGTTTTGGTAGTGGGGGTGGGCTACGGTGGTGGTTTCTCTCTAACTGGGGAAAGGATTATACATACTAGCCTTCTTTTTATGTTCTTTGTGAGCCTGTGTTTTTTGACAGTATCCTGGCAGAGCCTGGATACAAGGCCAAATGGATACTGTGGGCATTTTTGTGTTCTTACTGCACTTGCACTCATCTTCTCCCAGACAACTAGCAACTGGATTACCCTCTTCTCCCAGACAACTAGCAACTGGATGAGTGCAAATGGCCTCAAGCTGGGCTAGGGGAGGTGCAGGATGGACATTAGAAAGAGTTTCTTCATGGAAAGGGTTGTTAGACATTGGAGCAGACTGTCCAGGGAGGTAATGGAGTTACCATCCCTGGAGGTGTTCAAGTAACTGCTCATGTCACTTAGTGCCATGGTCTAGTTGACAAGGTGGTAACTGGTTAAAGGTTTGACTCAGATGTCTTTTCCAACCTAACTGGTTCTATGATTCTGTGTGAATTTATACCTTAATATTTGTGATGGAATCTTCCATCTTATATAGCATCCAAAACTCTGACATCAAGACAAGTTACCTTTCAGCAGTGTTGTCCACAAGCCATCTACTTTCTATCTCACTAGTAAACAGTGCATAAAATCAGAGTGCTTGGGAAAAAATATTTTTTTTTTTTTATGAAAGGGCAGGGTTAACATGGATTGTAATGCTAGCAATAGGCAAACAACATTCCACAGTACACTGTCTCTTCCTCTGGCACAAGGAGTAAACCTAGTATTATGAGGTTTTTGTAAAGACCTTTTTGTTAAAGCTGACTGCTGCAAAGAGTGAAGTGGTATTGATGGGGCAAGATGCATACAAATCTCCTGTTCTTCTGAGAGTTCTGACCTCTGATACTGAGTATCGATAAATGCCCTCTCAGTGGGCCTTTTCAGTATTTGTAGTATCCAGAGAATCACAGACAGAAAAAACTCAACTGTAGGTGGTGATTCCAAATGGATTTGTATTCCTGTAAATTTCAGTGTTCGTTGCATGGGACCAAGAGCATGTGTTTTTCCATGATGATTATTCTGTTAGTTTGGGGTTTTTTACAAAAATTGCTTTAAAAATCCCACTGACTGTTTTTTTCACTTTGTGGTTGAAGAATGTGTTGGTTTTGGCTGGGGTAGGGTCAGTTTTCATCACAGAATCCACTAGGTTAGAAAAGACCTCTGAGATCATAGAGTCCAACCTTTGACCCAACACTACCTTGTCTACTAAACCATGGCACTAAATGCCACATCCAATCTCTTCTTAAGTACCTCCAGAGATAATGAATCCACCACCTCCTTGGGCAAGCCATTCCAAAGTCTGATCACTCTTTGTGAAGAAATTCTTGCTAATGTGCAACCTAAACAGCTCTCCCCTGGCAGAGCTTAAGCTTGTGCCCTCTTGCCCTACTGCTGACTGCCTGGTAGAAGGTGGGATCGACCCCCACCTGGCTACAACCTCCTGTCAGGGAGTTGTAGACAGTGATGAAGTCACCCCTGAGCCTCCTCTTCTCCAGGCTAAACAACCCCATCTTCCTCAGCCTCTCCCCACTGGACTTGTGCTGGAGTCCCTTCACCAGCCCGGTTGCTCTTCTCTGGACCTGCTCCAGCACCTCAATATCCTTCCTGAACTGAGAGGCCCAGAACTGGACACAGCACTCCAGGTGTGGCCTCACCAGTGCCAAGTACGGGGTCAGAATCACTTCCCTGGTTCTGCTGGCCACATTGTTCCTGATCCTGAAGACCACACATTCCAAGTGCTTGGCCCTAGCATCTCAGAGGAGGCACCTCCCATTTGCTCTCTGGGTGCCCAAAAGAACCACAGCCACTGATCACACAGGACCCCCTCTTCTGTCTAAGGTTCCCACCAAACACACTCTGCACCCACTCACTCCTACAAGCCTTGTGAGCACCGATTGCTACTGTACTTCACAGTGGCTAGTATTGGGCAGTGTTTTGGATTTGTGCTGGAAACAGTGTTGAGATGTTTCTATTAATACTGAGCAGTGCTTACACAGAGCCAAGCTCTTTTTCTCTTTTCATACTCCTACAATGGTGAGAAGACTGGGGTACCTGTAAAGATGCCAGGAGACACAGCTGGCACAGCTGACTCCAACTGTCCAAAGGGATATGCCTGACTGTATTGTATCATGCTCAGTATATAAAGTGGGGGGAAGAAGCAGGAAGCAGGGGGACACATTTGGAGTGATGGTGTTTGCCTTCCCAAGTAACTGATATGCACAGTGGAGCTCTGCTTTCCTGGGGATGGCTGAACAAGGAAGTGGTGGATGAATTTGTTGGTTTGCTTCATTTGCATGTACAGCTTTTGCTTCCTCTGTTAAACTGTTTTTATCTCTAATCATGAGTTTTCTAGCTTTTACCATTTTCATTCTCCTCCCAGCCCTACTGGTAGGGGAGTGAGTAAGCGGCTCTGTGGTGCTCAGTTGCCAACCAGAGTTAAACCACAACAAAAATCAGAAGCATAAAAAGAAGTTTTGAAAAGCTCTGCGATTTTGTTCTACTTGCAGTGTGTTTTGCTTCATCTGTGGCATTCTCTGGAATTCTATGTTAAATCCATCATCCGTTGTCTGTATATCTCGCTATGGTCCAAGTTACTAGAGAGATTACCTCACTTCATGTCCTTATGGTATGGCATGAAATCTACATGCCACTTCCTTAGTAAAAATAAATATCAGCTATATGAGGCAGATAGACTGTTCATGCTGCCAGTCAAATTAATCTGCCTCTCCAGAGTAGTATAAAAGCAAACCTTGATGTCTTCCATACAAGGTATGGTAACCTGCCTCAACATAGGCTTCCCACTCCATCACCAACAAAATAATTGCCCATCTACTAAATAAAGCCCAGCTGCTAATGACATGACTGACAATAGTCACACACATTTCTTATTGTGTAGGCGTAATTCAGGGAGGTACACTGCAATCAGAAACTGGAAGCTATTCCTCTAAACAAATCTGTTGAATGCCAGTGATGGTAATTATTAGTGATTACTCACTGATTGCTAATGTGTTCTAGATTTAGACATTCCAAGAGAGGGACAGCATGGCAGTTTTTCACATGGATATGAAGACTAAATTTTTTATTTTTACTCTATGTAAGGAAAAAAAACTAGTATTCAGTAGCTGAAATCAGTACTGCCTAAATTTAATACAGTTTTATACTCATTTTTCAGGCATATTTCAAGTTGAAAATAAATTAAATTCTAGGAGGCAGAGAAGGTAGTGTAGCCTAAAACCTGTTAAAATAAATGATGCCAGATAAAAGGTGAAATCATCTTTCTGATAGAAGAGATTTAGACTAGGTCAAAGGAAAGTGGAAGTTCTTATAATTCATTTGTACCATGGAAGCAATGCTGCATGAGGTTTTTGAAAGAAATCACATCTTTTGTGAGACCAGATGGCACAGCTGGAAAAAAATTACAAGCTTTCAAGCAGGCAGAGCATTCATGAACTGATAACACAGAGAAGCAAACTCACAGCTAACTACAGAACAATACTGCAGGTGTTCGTAAATTGATCTCTCAAACCTATTTGTAAAAGAATGCTTAATCCTCACCTCTATAGTTCTCTTTTCAGAGGGATTCAGCCCTCATCCAAATCTTATAAATCGAGTTTCTAGTACTGAGAGAAATAAGCATTTACTTGGAACCTGAAATGGCTGTTCATTTGAACCATTTGAAAACTGTTTTTAATTCTTGTGGGTTTTGTTGCTGTTTTCTTGCATTCTTTTCATCTGGAACACAGAAGTGATCTTACTGTGTGACCAGAGCAGCACTAGCGTCAATGAAAGGGAGAGAAGAGGAATGCATGAGAAGAAGCACTGCAGATTTAGATCACTGTTAGGCCTCAAGGGAGTCCTAATGAGGCAAAGAATTCAAGGAGATCATTCTCTCTGTCCTTCTTTTCACTGATCATGCAAGTGAACTCTGTAGATATGAGAGAAAATTTTGAATATTTAAATGGTGGGTTGAAAAGTTGTTCAATATCTGACAAATGGAAATTTGCAAACTTATGTGATCCTTCAATTAGTAAGATTTTCAACAAGTAATAAAATTTAATAGTATCTCGTTGTTGTGCTAATAAATCTGCATTCAGTTAAATGAACAATTTCAACGGACGAAATTCTTTGAGAGTTACTGTGTATAACTGGACATTCTGAGATAAACAGAACAGTATGAAAAGAAGGATGGTTGCAGATGGTTTGTATCCTCAGAGAATGACTCTAATTTGGTCCTCAAAATATTGTTCTCCCTGGCTGGATTTGTATTGTATGGCTCACAGGATGTCTGCTGTTCATATTCCAAGTGTCAACATGCTCCCTGTGCAGCAGCTGGCAGAGCCCGGCTCTGTGTCACATAGAACTCCTTAACTGATGATGCTCTCTACATCCTTCTCTGAGCCATGGACCAATCCCACAATACAATGGGAAAGAACAAATAAACCACCGCCAACTTCTTCCCTGCATTCCCCTCTGTTTCCCATTATGTAAAAGAATAACTTTGTGCTGCAGAAACCTCAGATGACGGCATCTTATTTGCGTGGCCACTGCATGGAGTGACTCGTACAAAAAAAAATGAATTGGTGCCATCTCAGCTGTCCTAGGACATGGGTACACAGGTATGGGGACACACTACTGCTACTCCCTAGGAGGCATTTAGTTAGTATTAGCTACTAAGGCTGGTGCTATGGCTTGACTGACTCGAGGAGAGACTGGGGATAGAAGAAGACAGTCTCTGTGGTTCTCCTCACCTTGCACGCCACAGGTCTCAGTGAGAGTAATATCTAGTTCTAAGCCAAGACTAATCTGGGGATAAACCCATTGACCTTTGTAGGTTGTGCTACTGTACACAGACCTATTATAGGCAGGTAGTGTATACATATTCTAGGTAATTACATGGTCTTATGGGGTTGTGCAAATACCTATGAGAGTATCAAACCTAATGACACCCTGCCTATGCAAGCTAGTCTTGTTATCTCACATTATAGGACTGTGGCATGGAAAGACTGGGTAGCCAGCATAGTCAGTATGTACAAGGACAGGTAGTAGAAATAGGTACTCAAGCTTAATGCTAGTGTTCTACCTTCTGTATTGTCCTCTCTATTTATCTGTCTTTTTATGTGGCTACATCCCAGTGCTCTACCTTATTTTCCATGATTGATTACCTTGCATAATGGCTCAAGCCGGCATAAAATCTTATGATCGTGTGTGCCATGACATTGAATTTCTTATTCCATTTTTATAAGAAAAATTTGAAACCTAAATCTGCAGCCCTTATTTACACTCAGTAAAGAAAACATGATCAGACACAGCATTCTTAAGCTTCAGCTTGCTGCATCTACAATGTATTTTAATTCAAAATTGTCTAATCAAAAAGATTTTAATTTAAGGACTAAACATATATGCCCTTCTGCTGAATAATCGTTGCTTCAGTGGTAAATAGAAAGCCCACAAATATATGCTCAGCTTCTCAGCATGACCTAGGTGTGGCTCACAGCCATCTGTGTTTATAGTAAGAGATCGCCCACATGCATGAGTCTGTAAACAGTACCAAAACGCCAAAGTTTTGGTTTTTTCTCTTTCACTCTCCATATATTGCAGTCTCAGAGTGCCTCCATATAAGCATAAATGTCTGCAAAGATACTTTTTTTTTTCTTTCTGTAGTCTAGCAGTTCTCTGAGCTAGTGCTTTGAAGATGCCTTTGTATTACTGGTAGATGAAAAGATTGCTAGTTTGTTTTTTTTATTACAAATCCTTCCTGGGTCTCTACCAGTGTTTGTATATTCAGACAGCCAGCAGATATTCAAGACCCAGTCAAAACGTAAACAAGAAAAAGTCATACTCATGAATTTCCCCAGTGTGTGAGGGGTGCTGGGGGCACCTCCATTTGGCATTTGAGAACTCTGTTTTTCTCCATGTCAGCTGACTTCAAACTGTCAGCAAACTGTCTTTCTCATCAATGCTGCTGTAGGAAGAGCGCACAAAAGGTATTTTGCAACTCCATTATGTTTCTGCTAGACTACATATATATCGTGAATGTGATTATGCAAAAAGTCTTAAACCCTAAGATTTCCCATAGATGTTATTGACAAAGAATGAAATTCAGATCAAATTAGATCTTAGTATTTTTTATAAGGTGTTATTAAAGAGTGCAGTGACATTTCAGGTATCAAACAAGAACACATTTGTGGAACATGTAAAGCACAGATGTTCTTACTATTTTATGACCTCCATGACAAAGAAATCCTCATGAGCTTATCTGTGTTCATAAAAGACATGTTGCCCACATCTAACAGGAGTAAATTTGCTCAGCAGGGAAGGAAGTTCCATGGTTGCTGCAAAGATGAAGACATTCCAGCATATCATTACAACATAGAATTGATGGCCACATGCATCTTCTGAAGCATTCTTGGGATTCTACTGCATTCCTATTCACTGCAAATCACTGCCACTGTCAGAGGAAGAAAACGTGAATTGCTGCTGCCATAGAAGAAGCCAAGGCATCTAGTGAGAGGGAGTCTGAACAAAAAACATAGCTGTGACAAGTCTTTGCAAACACATGTTATGCATGCTAGCATGGAGAGCACCTCACTGATTGCTGTCAGCCTCTTTCCCCTTTTTTTCTGAAGTCTTGGGGAGCTTGTTGCCTGCTTGCCACATGCTTTTCTGACTTCCTTGAACTGGTAAGTAGAATGTAACTGTTCTGCTTAAGCCTTACCTACTTCTTGTCCCTCGAGTTTATTGAGAATAAAGCATTATGAATGTAATGAAACATGAGAACTACTTAGACATTAACTGAAATTCTTGGTTAAATTAATCAAATATGCTAAAAAATTTTGGGTAGATACGAGAGCATGTGAGAGACAGATAGACAGATAAACAGACAGGCCTGTCAGCCTTATGTCGGTGCCCAGGTTATGACGCAGGTCATCTTGAGTGCAATCACACGGGACATACAAGGGATCAGCATGGGTTTAGGAAATGCAGGTCCTGTCTGACCAACTTGACCTTCTTTTATGTTGAGGTGACCTGGCTAGTGGATGAGGGAAAGGCTGTGGATGTGTCTGTCTGGACTTCAGCAAAGCCTTTGACTCCGTCTCCCACAGCACACTCCAGGAAAAGCTGGCAGCCCATGGCTTGGACAGGGGCACTTTGTGCTGGGTTAAGAGCTGGCTGCAGGGCTGGGCCCAGAGAGTGCTGGTGAACGGGGCTGCATCCAGTTGGCGGCCGGTTACCAGTGGTGTTCCCCAGGGATCAGTGCTGGTCCCAGTTCTGTTTAACATCTTTACTGATGCTCTGGATGAGGGGACTGAGTGTATCATTAGCAAATTTGCAGATGACACCAAGTTGGGTCGGATTGTCAGTCTGCTGGAGGGTAGACAGGCTCTGCAGAAGGACCTGGACAGACTGGAGAGTTGGGCTGATTCCAGTGGGATGAGGTTCAACAAGGCCAAGTGCCAGGTCCTGCACTTTGGCCACAACCCTCTGCAGCGCTACAGGCTGGGCACAGAGTGGCTGGAGAGCAGCCCATCAGCAAAGGACCTGGGGGTACTGGTCAACAGCTGGCTGAGCGTGGGCCAGCAGTGAGCCCAGGTGGCCAAGAAGGCCAGTGGCACTGAGGCTTGTGTCAGAAATAGTGCGGCCAGCAGGACCAGGGAAGTGATTCTTTGCCTGTCCTTGACACTGGTTAGGCTGCACCTTGAGGGATGTGTCCACTTCTGGACCATAATTTAGGAAGGACATTGAGGTCCTGAAGCAGGTCCAGAAAAGGGCAACAAAGCTGGTGAAGAGTCTGGAGAACAAGTCCTGTGAGGGGCAGCTGAGGGAGCTGGGGTTGTTTAGCCTGTAGGAGACTCAGTGGTGGTGGTGACCTTATCATTCTCTACAAATACCCGAAAGGAGGTTGTATCCAGGTGGGGGACAATCTTTTCTCCCAGGTAACCAGGGCAAAAGGACACAGTCTTAAGGTGCACCAAGGGAGACTTAGGTTGGACATTAGGAAGAAATTCTTTAGAGAAGGAGAGATTGGACATTGTAATGGGCTGCCCAAGGAGGTGGTGGAATCACCATTCCTGGAGGTGTCTAAGGAAATACTGGATGTGGCACTTCATGCCATGGTCTAGTTGTCATGGTGCTTTTCAGTCATAGATCAGACTCAATGATCTGAGAGGTCTTTTCCTACCTAATTGATTCTGTGATTCTGTGTGATTCTGTGATAGACCGACAGACAGGACAGAGAGGAGGACACATCAGATACATTAATATAAACAAATAATTGCAAAGAAATCTATGAAGATTTACAACATTTTAGGTAACAATAACTTGTGCCATGGAGAATGAGAAGTTGTTTATCCTACTGGCCTTCACCAGAAAATTGCCTTGCAATTTCAGCAACTGAGAGTATCTGTAAGGGTAGTCCTGTGTAATAACTAACTCACTGTGTATTCATATCTCATTGTATCTTGTTCATGCACCCACATTCTGAGAATGAGTTGGCACTTCACATACTGGAGTTGAAAAGGCCCAACCTGGCTTAGTTACATGATGCTGAAGCATTTCTCTGAGTGAGCACACTGAAGACAATACTGAATTTTAAAAATCCAGAAGTAACATCAGGACTTCTAAAAGTGAGAAGTGAGACTCATACAAAGCTGGAAAGTATTCTAAACTTTACCTTCTAAATTAAATAAAAAGGGAAAATGTTTCTTCTTATTACTAATTATTATGTTCCTCAGTTAAAAACTACTTTTGAAAGCATTTTTAGCTTACCAATATAGAAGCTAGAAACAGGCAAAATATTATCTTGTCTATTCACAAGTTACATTCCACTGCAACACAGAAAACCAAATGTGATATGTCCTCTTAGAAAATTTCCTTGTTCAATAAAAAGAGTTTTGTGGTTTCATATTGAAACTATAAATACTATGAAAAGCCTGAGCTGTTTCTTTATTAGTATAAGCCTTAATTTTCTTACAAAGAACCTGTTCTTTGCATAACTGACAAGAATATGAAATTACCTTGTCACCCAGAGGATCTCATATCCTGGTATGACTTGGACAAGAACAGAGTAATACATTTCTCTTTTGGGGGGCAGAATACCTCTGTGCCCCAGCCCATCTATTTCTCAGAAGAAAGCTTCTCCTTACATCTTTCTGTAAATCAAACTTGGGGCACTCGGAAAACATTTTCATTATAGCTTGTATACAGTCTGTTAATCTCTGACTACATGTTCTTCAACACTTGCAATTTTACTTGTGCGTTTTCTTTTGATTATTTGTGGCTAGTGAAGGAAATGATAATTCAGGAAATATCTACATTTTATTTGATGTTATGACATGTCCTGGATATGTGCCACACAGTGCTGAGGATTTTAATCAAGTCAGAATTACTTAAGAGAATTTATCTTCATTGCAAACAGAAGTATACATCTATCCAGGAGAAATTTTAGTGCTTTTATGGTTTTCCAAATCAAAGCAAATGTATGACCATAATACACTGATTTCCCCATCAGGGTTTGCCTGTGGCCTATACTCAGCATACAGCTAAAACAAATATTTTCACAAAGAGCATAGCTGCAGGAGCGCTTTCTACAAGATGTATTAGCTCATTTCTCTTGGAAACCCAAAATTAGCTACAAAAAGCCTGTAAATTCAGCAGATGCTTTTTCTGCATAGTCCTCCACAAATCCACTTATTCTAGATCCTTTTGTGAAGTATTTATCTTTGTTTCTCAGTTCTTTCAGATTGTCTGCCAAATCATTTGACAAGTGAACAGCCACAAAGTACTATGTGAATACTTTAATACAGAATGCGTGTTTTCAACTCTAGTGGAGGAACACTGGAAAAGTACCGTACACCAGTGTGGCATGGAAGCATATTAGTTTAGGCACAGCATCATACTAACATGCCTACTGGGCTTTTGATTAGAGTTAGATCAGATACAATCAGCACAAAATGTGGACAAGGCAAGCTTGGGTTTTTCTGTAACTGTCCATACTCTAAATCTGTTCATTAAATTTTAACTAACAAAATAAATTAAAATATTTTAAAGAAATCTGTTCTCTAAGTCTTTAATTTTTCGGACTTCTTAAATAACAGATGGCTTGAATGAACTAATTAAATAATGGATATAGTTAAAGTTCAAAGTAAACTGAAGAGAGTATTTGAAACCTAAAGTTCTTGCACCTCTGTTATTAACAAACACTACTCACTCTAATAAATATTAGTAGGAGAATACAACATCTCACATTATTCTTAACATATATCACTCTCTCCATTGGCTAATGTGGAATTTTAAAGCCAGAAATTATATTCAGGCATCAAGATACTAATATACTGGCCAAATGCCATGATGTACTGAACAAGGTTTATGTTCTCAGATGAGACACTTAGGCTTTTCTCAGCTAAACCTATGCATTTAGCTGCAGAGCATAGAGACAGTTCCTAGCCAATCTGCAACAAAATCCCATCACTGAACAGAGGAACATAGACCTGCCATTACAGTAGTAACTTGTGAACACAGCAGCCCACACGACAAGAAGAAGGAATCACACGTTTTTTTGTAGGTCTTTGTTTTTCAGATAAAGTATCTTTAACATGGACAGTACATCAATTAAGAGGAGTTAAAATACACGTACGTAAATAACTAAATCAATAAAAGTATTTTCCAATAGTATGAGGGAAGGCATTTGGGCACAAGTTAGCAATTATAAAATGATGTCTTATCATTAAGGATCCTCACTCAGAGGAGTTTTTTTGTGGGAACAAGAACATTGATTTGTATATGTGACATTTTGAGTTTGGTTTCAGGGATATTTTTTGGTGGGGGAAAGGAAGGGGTTGCATTCAGTCATTTTTATTCCCTGATGACTTCGGCACATAGCAACCATCTGTTCCGCTGGTTCAATCCCAAACATGTTTTCAGAGGAATGAAAAAATAACAAAATGAATAGACAAAAGATGTAACATATTTTTTGGCAAACTTATCTTTGAAAACTTTTGTTACTAAGGCAAAGAACATTTCTGTAAGGTGAAGTTACAGATTTTACCTTTGCTTTTCTGGTACAAATAGTACAGTTTGTGATGAAAAGGCACATGGAAAGGATTCAGCTACATAAATAATAATACAAAAATATAATAAGCAACATAAAAATAAATAATTTTAAGGGTGCTGTTAGCTCTAGTTATTGATGGATTTACAGGAAGACTCCTTTATTTCTTGAAACTAATAAAATTATCAAATTACAAAAACCAGTTTAGACTGTTAATAGGAGCAAAGATTTCAAAAGGAAAAAAGAGCCAGTTAAAAATTAACCCTGGTGCAGCAATGC